GCCCCGCCCTCCCAAGCCCCTCCCCCTTCCGCCCCACCCCTTCAGGCCCCTCCCACCTGCGGCAGGGCACTGGTGAGCTGTCTCTGGAGCGAGTCCTTCTCGTGGGCCAGGTCGCGCAGGCGGAGCTGAGCGGTGGCCAGTCCCTCCTGGGTGTCGCGCAGGGTCTCCAGCAGCCGCTCCCGCTCCCTCAGCATCTGCACCATCAGCTGCTCCAGCCCCGGCTCCTCGGGGCACCCCGAGCCCCGCCGGGCATCCTCGCTGATGGTGGGCAGCACCTCGCACATCATCCTGCCGGCGCCCTGCCTGCGGGTCAGGGGGGGAATCAGATGGGGCATCACCCTGCCAGCACCCCAAAACATCACCCTGCCTGCACCCTGGGGTGGGCAGCACCCCAAACATCACCCTGCCTGCAGTGGGACATCAGCCAGGGCCTCAGGACATCACCCTGCCGGTGCCCTGCCTGCGGGTCAAGGGGGGAATCAGCTGGGGCATCGTCCTGCCTGCACCCTGCCTGCACCAGGGGGTGGGCAGCACCTCAAAACATCACCCTGCCTGCACCCTGCCTGCACCCTGGGGTGAGCAGCACCCAAAACATGACCCTGCCTGCACCCTGGGGTGGGCAGCACCTCAAACATCACCCTGCCTGCACCCTGCCTGCACCCTGCCTGCACCCTGCCTGCACCCTGCCTGCACCCTGCCTGCACCCTGCCTGCACCCTGCCTGCACCCTGCCTGCACCCTGCCTGCACCCTGCCTGCACCCTGCCTGCACCCTGGGGTGAGCAGCACCCAAAACATCACCCTGCCTGCAGTGGGACATCAGCCAGGGCCTCAGGACATCACCCTGCCGGTGCCCTGCCTGCGGGTCAAGGGGGGAATCAGCTGGGGCATCGTCCTGCCTGCACCCTGCCTGCACCAGGGGGTGGGCAGCACCTCAAAACATCACCCTGCCTGCACCCTGCCTGCACCCTGGGGTGAGCAGCACCCAAAACATGACCCTGCCTGCACCCTGGGGTGGGCAGCACCTCGCACATCATCCTGCCGGCGCCCTGCCTGCGGGTCAGGGGGGGAATCAGATGGGGCATCACCCTGCCAGCACCCCAAAACATCGCCCTGCCTGCACCCTGGGGTGGGCAGCACCCCAAAACATCGCCCGGCCTGCAGTGGGACATCAGCCAGGACCTCAGGACATCACCCTGCCTGCACCCTGGGGTGGGCAGCACCCAAAACATCACCCTGCCTGCACCCTGCCTGCAGGTCAAGGGGGGGAATCAGCTGGGGCATCGTCCTGCCTGCACCCTGCCTGCACCCTGCCTGCACCCTGGGGGTGGGCAGCACCCCAAACATCACCCTGCCTGCAGTGGGACATCAGCCAGGGCCTCAGGACATCACCCTGCCTGCACCAGGGGGTGGGCAGCACCCAAAACATCACCCTGCCTGTACCCTGGGATGGGCAGCACCCCAAATATCACCCTGCCTGCACCCTGCCTGCAGTGGGACATCAGCCAGGGCCTCAGGACATCCCCCTGCCTGCACCCTGGGATGGGCAGCACCCAAAACATCACCCTGCCTGCACCCTGGGGTGGGCAGCACCCCAAAACATCGCACTGCCTGCACCCTGCCTGCGGGTCAAGGGGGGGAATCAGCTGGGGCATCGTCCTGCCTGCACCCTGCCTGCACCAGGGGGTGGGCAGCACCCAAAACATCACCCTGCCTGCACCAGGCAGTGGGCAGCACCTCAAACATCGTCCTGCCTGCGCCTTGCCTGCAGGTCAAGGGGGGAATCAGCTGGGGCATCACCCTGCCAGCACCCCAAAACATCGCCCTGCCTGCACCCTGGGGTGGGCAGCACCCCAAACATCACCCTGCCTGCAGTGGGACATCAGCCAGGGCCTCAGGACATCCCCCTGCCTGCACCCTGGGGTGGGCAGCACCCAAAACATCACCCTGCCTGCACCCTGCCTGCGGGTCAAGGGGGGGAATCAGCTGGGGCATCGTCCTGCCTGCACCCTGCCTGCACCCTGCCTGCACCCTGGGGTGGGCAGCACCCAAAACATCACCCTGCCTGCACCCTGGGGTGGGCAGCACCCAAAACATCACCCTGCCTGCACCCTGGGGTGGGCAGCACCCCAAACATCACCCTGCCTGCAGTGGGACATCAGCCAGGGCCTCAGGACATCCCCCTGCCTGCACCCTGGGGTGAGCAACACCCCAAATATCACCCTGCTTGCACCCTGGGGTGGGTAGCACCCCAAAACATCACCCTGCCTGCACCTGGGGGTGGGCAGCACCCCAAAACATCACCCTGCCTGCACCCGGGGGTGGGCAGCACCCCAAATATCACCCTGCCTGCACCCTGCGGTGGGCAGCACCCCAAAACATCACCGTGCCTGCACCCTGGGGTGGGCAGCACCCCAAAACATCACCCTGCCTGTACCCTGGGATGGGCAGCACCCCAAACATCACCCTGCCTGCACCCTGGGGTGGGCAGCACCCAAAACATCACCCTGCCTGCACCCTGCCTGTGACATGGGACAGCCAGGGCATCAGGACATCACCCTGCCTGCACCCTGGAGTGGGCAGCACCCAAAACATCACCCTGCCTGCACCCTGCCTGCGGGTCAAGGGGGGGAATCAGCTGGGGCATCGTCCTGCCTGCACCCTGCCTGCACCAGGGGGTGGGCAGCACCCAAAACATCACCCTGCCTGCACCAGGCAGTGGGCAGCACCTCAAACATCGTCCTGCCTGCGCCTTGCCTGCAGGTCAAGGGGGGAATCAGCTGGGGCATCACCCTGCCAGCACCCCAAAACATCGCCCTGCCTGCACCCTGGGGTGGGCAGCACCCCAAACATCACCCTGCCTGCAGTGGGACATCAGCCAGGGCCTCAGGACATCCCCCTGCCTGCACCCTGGGGTGGGCAGCACCCAAAACATCACCCTGCCTGCACCCTGCCTGCGGGTCAAGGGGGGGAATCAGCTGGGGCATCGTCCTGCCTGCACCCTGCCTGCACCAGGGGGTGGGCAGCACCCAAAACATCACCCTGCCTGTACCC